CCTCTTGATGCGGGTGAAGAAGGAGAGTGCAAAAGTTGGCTTGAAACTCAACATTAAGAAAACCAAAATCATGGCATCCGGCCCTCTCAATTCCTGGCAAATAGATGGGGAAGAAATGGAGGTAGTGACAGATTTTATTTTTCTGGGCTCAAAGATCACCTCAGATGGGGACTGCAGCCAAGAAATTAAAAGACGCTTGCTCCTGGGGAGGAAAGCTATGGCAAATCTAGACAGCATACTAAAAAGCAGAGACATCACCCTGCCAACAAAAGTGTGTATCGTCAACGCCATGGTTTTCCCAGTTGCAATGTATGGCTGTGAAATTTGGACCATAAGAAAGGCTGAGCGCCAAAGAATTGAGGCCTTTGAACTATGGTGCTGGAGAAGACTCCTGCGAGTCCCTTGGACTGCAAGGCGTTCAAACCGGTCAGTCCTAGAAAAGATCAACCCCGACTGCTCTTTAGAAGGCCAGATCCTGAAGTTGAAACTCAAATACTTTGCCATCTAATGAGAAGGAAGGACTCACTGGAGAAGGGCCTAATGCTGGGAAAGATTGAGGGCAATAGAAGAAGGGGATGACAGAGAATGAAATGGCTGGATGGAGTCACTGAAGCAGTAGGCGTGAACTTAAATGGACTCCAGAAGATGGTAGAGGACAGGAAGACCTGGAGGAACGTTGTCCATGGGGTCGCGATGGGTCAGACACGACTTCGCAATTAACAACAACAACATGCATAATTCTATGTTTATTTATTTTGTCATATTTATGTAGTGTAGATTGGAGGTGGTGACCCTTTGAGAGCTATATGCAATGAAATTTCATTTTAATGTATGCCAATTAAGTGTACATTCAAAGTGACAATAAAGTTATTGTTCTGTTCTAATCTAATCTAATCTAATTGTAATAGTCTTTATTGGTACACATAAGCACAATCAAAGATTCGATGTGTTTGTGTGTGTATGTTTGTGTGTATGTTATTATACAATAAATTCTAATTATTTTCACTGGGAGAAAATCATTTTTAAATTGATTTAAAATACAAGATAAAGAGTAAAATGTGAAGTCAAATGTCAAAAAAGTCTGGCACAGAACCAGAGGGATTGGAGTGAAAGGGTGGAATATACATCTTGGAGATAGAAAGTCTCTGTGTAGTCAGGCCTGCTGGTTCAAACACCTGGCCATGAAATAAAAGGGTCAGAATGGATCACCACAACACTTAAAACACTGGTATCCTTTGTTGCTGTTTCTTATTTCATCACTCACTGTTGTAAGAGGCTTTTACACTGTTACCCCTGAGAAATTCCATGGCCTTTTGTGTGTGTTCCACATCAGCTGATATATGTACTATGTGACCATGGTATTCCCCTCATAAAATGGGTTCAAATACTTTATGTTAATACCAGCAATCAAGTACCACGTGCTGCTGGTCTTTCTGACAATTTTCCTGTGAAGATTGGTATGCACAAGGTTTGCCATAGCTGTTCATTGTTGTCATGGATACATCACACAAGACTTGCATCACAGTGCCCCTGGGTTTTGCTTTATGCCAATAAGATCCTTTTCTCAGCTACCATCAGGAAAATACTAAGCACTATGTACAGATATGGAATGACTAACTTAGTCAATTAAATTTGCACCTCAATATCAAGAAGACTGAGTATCTAGAGCAGGATTGTCAAACTTGCAACGTCATATGACGTGTCGTGACATATCGTGATTTTTTTCCATTGCCAGCTATGGGGTGGGTGTGGTTTCAGCATGATGCATCCGGCCCATGGGCCGGCAGTTTGAAACCCCCGATCTAGAGACTAGCCCAAGCATTTCATTATTCAGGTCAATGCTGAAGTGGTAGTAGATGTGAGGGTGAATGCAACCTAGCTGCAGGGGAAGGAGATCACTGGAGAGCTCTGTGATAGGTCTATGCAGTTCACCTACAATTGAAATTTTACAAAATAATTTGCCCGGTAGCACTATATGACACTGAATGCTGGCCAGCCACTAAAAGTGTCAAGCACCCATTATATGTCATTAGATGTGCATGTTTCCCTTCTTGACCATATAAGGAGTGTCTGGCAGCAGATGGGTGCTGTATTATTTCCAGAGAAAATGCAGGAAATGTGTTTATGGTGGTTTGGCCACATTCTATAAGCAGTATCCTACACCGTTAACATTGATGGCAAATGCCCATGACAAAAAAACAAAAATGGCTGTACACAATTAATACAGACATGAAAATCATCCAGTTAGACCCATTTGCTGTATTTGATTGTGTGAAATAGCATTTGTTGATCTGAAAAGCAGACCCTGCACTGTGTGAAAATACTACAGTAGTGGCCCTGTTTTAGGCAGGTGACATAGAAATTTGGTGTTTGAAACATGAGGCAGCTATGGTTTGAGAAAACATAAATTTGTCTCAGATCTACCCAAAAATTAACTTGCTAGGAATTACAAATAATTTGTCAAAAGCAATGGGCCAGTTTTTTCTATATACTTACTCTTGTGCATTTCTCTGGAACGAAGGGAGTGAAGAGCAGATATAATATGATACAGGAAATTTACTTCTAAAGCTAACAATATAGGATTTTGTTATTCAAACAGAATGAGGTGAATATCAAGTTGAACTGGAAACAGACTGGAGCATATCTTTATTAGCTTTAATATTAAGATCCTAGAATATTAATTATGGGTGAAGCAGAAGTTTATAATTCTAAAAATACTTGACTTTAGCTTTATAAACCCATTAGCTGAGAAATTCATTCATAATTGGATAGCACATGATTAAAAATATTAATGAGGCTGATCAGACACAGCTAAACAGCCAAATTAATCCACAGAGGTATTTTTATCACATATAGGACTTTACTCCTAGGACTCAAAGTGACCTTTTCATCTTTGATTGATTTTCTACAGTCCAGATAGGGGAAACAACTTAGAATCTATGCTTTATATTGAAATCCAGCATTTTCTACATGTACAGAATGTCATCGGAAGGAATCTTCCACAACAACTTTCAAGCCACTTTTCTTTTCTCATAGACCTGTTTTTCAGCCACTCTATTATGTTGTATGATGAATTATACTGTTTGGACATGAAAACATACAATTTCATCTTGCCTGGATGCAATTTCTATTGCCTTGTCCACATTTAATCCCAATGACAGTCAGACGTTTTGTAAAATCAGACAGAAAACACAGAGGGTAATATTGGCATCTTATCCTGAATGTCATTTTCATCCTATAGACCAGGCAACTCAAATTCGCGACATCACATGATGTGTGACGTATCACAACTTTTTCCCCATTGCCAGCGGTTTTGGGCGCAGTTTTGGAATGACACATCCGGCCCATGGTCCAGCAGTTTGACATGCCTGCTATAGACTCATACAAGAATAAAATTAAAATCTTGATGATGACATTGCACAAAGGACTCTATAAAATAATCTATGCCACAATGCACTGACATTTCACATTAAAAGATGCTTCCCAGATTTAGTAATGCACCCATATTTTATAATTAATATAATTAAAAACTGCTGAACAAAATGAAATTGTAACATAAAAATATAAAATTATCTGGTTTCTCTCAGGAAGGATGGAATACATGTGAATATAGAGCTATTGTCATTTTTCAAAACTGAGCATATTGAGATAACAGAAGGAAAAATTAATGTGTAATTAAGCATGTGCTGATATGCACTCTAAAACAAATACGTTAGTAAGCACATGTGAGAGAACAAGCAAAGGGGAAATTATGGTGAGATCAGTTTTTCTTAGTTAATTTTTCTCACTATATATGTGTGTGTGTGTGCGTGTGTAGATGGGTAGGTAGGTAGGTAGGTAGGTCTTTGGTTATTCGGGTTTTCTCCCGCGTCAAATTGGAAGTGCCTTGGCGACATTTCAACAAAGTCTCATTCGTCATCTTCAGGCTGGTGTTTTCGGCTTCATGCTTCTAGGAGCACGACCAATTTGACGCGGGAGAAAACCCGAATAATCAAAGACCTACATACAAACACCCGCGAAAACCTCAGAAAATGTGTGTGTGTGTGTGTGTGTGTGTGTGTGTGTGTGTGTGTACGTACTGCAGGGCCAAGGTGAACCCATATCTCTGTGAATCTCGTAATTAGATTACCAAACTATGCTGTGGGATCTGGATAAAAATGACCAGTAAAATATAAACACAGACTCTACTAAATACAAAAATAATGTTATTGTTTGAGGGTTTTTTTTGTTTCGCCCCCTGAACACAGTGCAGAGAGTACAAGATAATAAGTTACGCTAGCACATAACATTCCGATGTTTATGATCTAAATATTTGTGTTGTCCTTGTCAAAGCAGCAGTTAATTTATTGGCTTTTACATTTTAGGTTTTCATCTTCTGACTTTTGAAAATTATGTTCTGCTTTGTTTACGTAAATTGCTTCCTTGTTGAGGGACAGTATATGAATGTTCTAAGTTTTAAAAAGCCAATGAAGGTTAAGGAAATACAGATCAATTACGTGTTTTCATTGGTAAGATTTTGGCTTTTAAAGATTGTCTGGCTTAAGCATAACATTTTTTTTCATTTTCAGTTGAACTTGCATTGCTGTACAACCATTTCTTTAATTCTGTCTGCTAATTAAAATATCACACAGCTAATGAATTTATGCATGTAATCCTGCTGCTACCTGTTTCTTGTAATCTGTTCTTTTAATGTGATTCACATACAAAAAGGCTTTAGTAAGAGTGATCACTTAAGTATTTTTTTAATTCATGCAGTTTTCAGTTTTAACTCCTCTGTGGAATGTAGAAGAATCAGCATTATCAAAAACAAAAGGTCCCATTATTTTTTTTAAAAAAATGTTATTTTTAGGAGTTCAGATTGTACAGTATGCTTTCTGGATTGGGATTAAATTTTTAGGTTAAGAATGGTACCAGAGAAAAGAATTTTAATCTCCCATTTGGAAATCGTACATGTGTGCTACAAAGAATACTGAGTCCTTTTTTTTTTTGTTTCTCAACAGGGCAGAGTTTAGGGTATGGATTTGTTAACTATATTGATCCAAAGGATGCAGAGAAAGCCATTAACACTTTAAATGGACTCAGACTCCAGACCAAAACGATAAAGGTAAGAGAATACAAAGAGTGTTTTGCTAAATTATGGAAGAGTGTAGTTAAGACTGCTCCTGGCTATCTCATCAAAATTGCATTCTTCACCATTCAGAAGATAATAACATCTCTTACTTTAAAACAAAGAAAAAGTATAAAGCAGATTTTTTTTTTCATTCTTTTCAAAACGCAGCTGTTTTCTCCTTTAAAAAAGGAAAGGAAAAACCGAGCCTTTTAAAATAAATATCAAAGGATCCAGGGTAGGTTGTCAAGGCTTTAGAGAGTAATCTATAAATTAACCTCAGGAGATAAAACGTAAAAAAGATGTTGATAAGATGGCCATTATATGGAGTTTTGTTGCCTGATTAATAATAGACACCCTGTTCTCTGTCTGTCTGTCTGTCAATCTATCTATCTATTTATCTATCTCTACCTGAGAATTGGCAGTCAACTACTAATTTTAATAATTGATTAATTTCATATAGTACACTGATCATACTCAAATACTCTTTAGAATGGGATTTCTTTTCCAGAAAGCAAATTTTAAAAAAAATCTTAGCATTATCTGCATGCCATTAACTTCTCTGTATCATGCTGTAACGTCGTTCTGGTTTAAGAGACCTACCCTTGATGCAAGTTGATTCATTAGAAACTTGTATATCTGTGCTGCTCAGTACAATGTAATCAGTGTTATGTGTGCAGACATATAGTGTAATAGTATAATAGTGTGCAAACATCAATTGCTTCCTATGCATTTTCAATATATTTTACATCAATTTATATATATTTATACATAATTTATATATAATTTACACACACATGCACACACAAAATATTTTAATCAAATCAGCACCAAAAGTTAACACTGAGCTGCTTCCACATAAAAGGTAGAAATTGCAGAATTCATCTTGCTTAAAAGCCTACCAGCAAAATATAAGCCACCAAAAGAAAGATGGAAAGTCAAACCAAAATCTGTGCATCTTAATATGTAATTTGAAGATTAAAGTATTGGTTTTAGAGCTGCATTCATTGTGTACAGGTGTTTTTTTCTTTAATGCTTGGTTATTATTTCCCTGAATTTAAAATATTTTCTTTTTTTATTTTCATTAAGTTGATAATGACAGAATTCAAGAATTTTAGAATATATTGAAAAATGGAGTGCATACTAATACTCTTGTTGAAATTCATAGATTCTGATAGAATAAATTTTAGGCCTGTTAATAATCACTGAGATCAAAATTATATTATTCTGACATGCTCTACTTTGGATATGGATTGGTTAACTATATCTTTGAAATGCAATACATAAAGTTATATTTAATTCAAGTATTTGTATACTTACGTTTTGTGGCTATAATTTTAAATGAATTATAAACTAGAAACTTTGGTCTAGTGGTCAAGGTACCAGGCTAGAGACTGTGAGTTCTAATTCCGCATTAGCATGAAAGCCAGCTGAATGATCTTGGGCCAGTCATTCTCTCGCAGCCCACAACAGCAGGCGACAAGCCAGTAGGATCAATTCCTGTCACAACGAGTGGATCAAAGCTCTGTTGATCTGAAAAAGCAAAGCCTGCTTTGCAGGAAAACACTAGGAATAAAAAAACATATATGTAGATTTAGGAAAATTAATAGTTTAAATTTAACTCTGTTTAAGTCTGGGGACTGAAATGAATTTGAAAGTAGCATTGACAGATAGATATATTGGGCTGGTTTGATTTACTTTGAAGAGTAGTGCATTAAAGATGAAATCTGATCTGTGTAAATCTGTTAGGATTATGTTCTTACTTACAAGTCTTTTTTCTTAAATTTATAAGACTTTTTAAAACTTGTTTTTAATCAGAAACAAAGATATATTCTGATTATTTGTTTGTGGTCAGGTTTGAAATTAAATTGCAATAAGACATTCTGAATTTGTATTCTGATTTCCAGTCTTAAATTCATCTGTAGTTTTCACATTAATTTAGATATCGTAATATCCATTGGTGTAATAACAGGCTGTCTGCCTTAATATTCAGTCTTAAGTGGGCTACCATCACCTTGAAATATAACCATTTAAAAATAATTCCAGGTGTGACTTAAACTTGCTAATTTTGTATTATACTTGTTATTACTGATACTTTGCTTTACACTTACTCATGCCTTAAGATACTCCTGTAACAATGCATCAAAATAGAGTCTTTGGGTATTTAAAAGAACAGGATCTCTTCACAGAAAAATATAGTTTTAGATAGAAGCAAGCTAGGCTGTAACTTCTTAAAACACTTGTTGTTCGTCCAACAATAGATTGCTGTGGGTTTGATTATTTTATAAATAAGTTTTGCACTCAGTAGCTATCCTTCATGATTTTATTATATATTTATAAAAGCTAATACTGCTAATTGTGTTTTATATTTATGAGTGAAACATGATTCCTTTAACTGGTAAAATTCTATGTAGATTAACAATTTAAAAACTGCAAGGAATAAAGACTTAGCACCTGCTTATTTACAATTTATTACAATGTGGTGGATTTAAATTAAATATTTGTTTTAAAAGGATACTGACTAATTTGTTCATACCAATTTCATCTAAAATTATGTCTATATGAGTAAAGCGTAATTATATTATTAATCACCGTAGAGAGTTCATGGTTAATGCTCAATATAACTATAAATCACAGGTGATATTCAGTTCTTCAATAATTAATCATTTTGGCTAAGATCCAAATCACTGTTTTGGTGAGCAGAAAAACTAACTCCATTCTTTGAAGGGACTGTAATCAATTTGTCATTTTTTCCTCCAGTCTTTTGCATCATATTGCTTCCACAGTAGCTTTTCAGAAAACTGCAAAAGGAAAAGGGAATAGCCAGGATATAAGTTCTTATTATACTTTCATTTGAATTATTATACTTAGTCCTATCACATTGTCACACAAAAACAAATGCAAATAAAATGTGCTTGAATTGCTCTTTATTTTTTCAATATTTACGAATTAATGATAGCTAAGAAGATAATGTACAAGAAATAAAATTGGCAAAATTAATAACAGTTTTTAGCCATTTAAAATGTGGGCATTTTAATTCCAGCATGTTGCATAATCTATGGAAGAGTGTTTTCTGTAGTCAGGAATTGCCTCATACTTCACTTATTGAGTTGCATGATTTTTTATTTTTTTTTGCTTTCATTTTTTGTTGCTCCTTCATATTTCCTTTAATTTTCATCTTACTGAATTACTTAACATTCAAGTTACTTGAAAAATGATTATATTACATCTGCATAAAAATTCCTCTGAAACACTATATTATAATAATATCATTTTAATGTTATGGGGGGTTTTTTTGCTTCTTTGTTCCTTAAAAATATCCATTCAGAAGTATAATTAGGTCCAGTTTTAGCAGTGGACACTATTCTGTATATCAGATAAAGAAAACAGAGTTAGGATTAAGTCTTAAAGTTGTGCCTAAAATATCATGCTCTATTTCTTCTTGTCAGATCTGGTACTAAGAAAATCCTGAGTTCTTCTCTGGAGATAAGTAATGGACTATATGCAGGTTAACAAGATCCTGGAAAAATGTGAAATACTTTGATGAGTAGATAAAATAATCTGAGATTGGATACAGTCTATTCCAGATGGGTTTATGCTCTTTCTGTATATCAGATTCATCGATCAGAACAGGCGTGAGAATGCAGAATCCAACATCCTCTTGGAGTGTCAAGGGTTGCTGTTGCTAGGAGCATCTTTGCTCAGCTTCAACTGATGAATAGTTTGCACTCTTTCCTGGAGAGAAAAACTCTAGTCAGTATTTCTTTTCTTAATAATCTTTCTCCCATTTAAATTTCTGTAATGCGCTATATAGACTCTTTTCAAGGAATCATTATAATATAGCAATGAAGGTGTTAGGCTGGGATGGGGGAGGGAGAAATGTGCATGTCAGTATAGAGTTCATCTATATGGTTTTAGATCACATACTATTTCTGAGTGGGCTGTTATGCAGAGCACAACAATGAGTGGCAACTTTCAGACTTTCTCCAACGAATCTAGACAAGAAATAGTAAATTCAAAGCACTTTCAGAGCTCTGACTTGTAATATTTATTAGAAAAAGGGTAAAAGTCACAGTGTAAGAATTTGGGTACATACAAATACTCTTCACTATCACTCATTCAGCGGCTGTTCAAAGTTATAACAGCAGTGAATAATGAAACTTGAGGAATTCTGAGAACGAAATGTTTCTTAAAAAGAGAAACAGACACTTCAGTTTTCAACAGGTTGTTAAATCTTGCCTTTTGATTTTAAATGTATTTACCAGGCTTTTATTATTTCAACTTTTAAAATTATTTTAGTCTTCATTTGTATGAGGAGGGAGCACTCTTGACCAAAATGCATTACATGAATAAAAAAATGAATGAATGAAAGAAGTGATAATAAAGTTATCTATTTGTTTTCCTTTATAGCCTACTATTCTTGTTGCTTCCACTTATCTACATTGCATAATTTCTTTTTAAACCTTTTAAAAGATTTCTGCTATTGGTTATATATAACTTAGTTATAAAAGGTAACATCAAACAAGGATTGTAGCCAGAAATTGAATTGAATTTTCTGAAGAGGACAAAAGCTGTACTGTGCATGAGTAAAAAGTTCCCTTTTACATCATCAAACACACTTCATGATTTGCCCCACCTTACCCCATGGCGAACAATTTCACAGAATATAAATAAATCATTAATATTCAGAGCAAGTTTTCCTCACAAATCTAATTTTCCAGAATTTTATATCAGCTTTTTCCAGCTCAGAAATCATGCAGAAATCTCCAGGCAACATGATAATACAGAAAATTCTGAGGAAGTCCAAAAGTTTAAGCATTCATTCTGAATTTATGATGAAGGAAAATTAAGGTGCCCTTACCAATCCTCCCCCTTCATTATACATATGACACAACTGCTTTCAAATTTAAAGCTTCAAGATTAGGGAATCTATTGTCCTCATTTTCAAAAGTCTATCGCTTCCACAGGACTAGGCCATTGGGAATGCAACAACAATA